GAGGAGCAGTGCCGCAAGGCCGCCGAGGAGCGAAGCGCGGCAGCTGTGGCTCGGCTACAGTTCGCAAGCAAGCGAACGCTTGTCGTTTTGGATTCCTGCTGCCAGGGCGGAATGCTTCGTTCGCTGAGTTTGCCGTTTAGTGCCATTTTGTCCTTGCAGAGTTTCTTGTCCCGTGACCCTGCCGCGGGCTTCTCACCGAATCTGACCACCAGCAGAGGAGTCAGCCGCGACCAGCCAAATCGTTGCAGTTGGCTCGCCAAGGAACGACGTCTTTCAGAAGCAGAGCAGCATCTGGACGCTTGGCCGTGCATGGAAACACTCCCGTAGAAAACTCTTTGCTGACGGGTAGCACTTTTCGGATTGCATAAGTCGTACCACCCCTCGCGGTTGCACGGCATGAGTTTTGATGATATGTTTCAGGGTGTCTACATCTGTTTTAGTTACAGTTGCCGTGCAATATTGGGAAACGTGCTGGGGTACAGACGTCAAAATAAAAAATGTCAGACTGCGTGGTGAGTGTCCGTGCCACGCATGGGAAGAGGCTGCTCTCAACTCGAACTTAGAACACACGCTGTGAGTCACTTTAGATGTGTCACCAAGAGGAACAATAGTTGCAAATCAGCCCTGAGTGTAGTATGTCCTTTTTCCCACAAATAGAGGCGATCGACGACCGTGCACCGTAACAGAAGAAGTCGATTCTGAGTGACAGCATGCTCTAAGTGGCGTAAATCAGGTTGAAGATCCTTGGAACGCTTGTGCGTCGGAATGAGAGTCCAGCCTTTGCGCGTTGCCCAAGATTGTCGTTTATTAAATTGCTTGACTTGATTTATGGGAATCCATGGTGAGATTGCCCACAATATATGACACGACCTCTTCCTATTCCAGCATTTATATACGGGAGCGACGTGGACGCAATTTGGTTTTGCAGAACAGGGCTACCGGTTGAAGCCATGCGATGAGTTGCGCTGTTGACACTCGCTAGATAGTGAGTCTCCTGCCTAGGGCCTAGGGATGCATGCAAAGTTCGGAAGGAGAGCATGGCGATGCCAAGTCCTCGAAGGCCATCAGGACTCGCCCTGGCACACAGTGAGCCCAAGCTGTCGCGAGCCTCAAGGCACATTTTGCATTTCCAGGAGAAGGCAGCCCACGGGACGAGGCATCGCCAAAGCCCGCACCATCGGAAGCCTCGACGGAAACGTGGCTTGTCTGGTTGAGCAATCTCGCGGCGCGGCTTTCCCCTGTCTCATCTCGAGAGTGGGACAGGTAGTCTGAGAAGCACTGTGCGATGACGCAGGTACGAGAGATGCGACAATACCGCGCACGCAGAGTCCAATGACGCGTCGCAGCTGCATGCGCTACTTGCTGCAGCTGAGCTGAAGCTTGGCCCTTCAGAGAGTAAGGGCGAAAGAGAGAGCGACAGAGGCAATGCACCCACCCACCCAGCAAGCAAGCAAAAGGTATCGCAGGATCGTACGCGTTGCCCGTCGTTGCCCCCAAGCTTTGTAGGGCAAGTAATGGATGGTTGGGTAGGGACACTTGTTTTTCGATGCATGGAGCCACTTCTGTGAAGCATTTGTACTTAATTCCAGATGAGAGACAGGAAGAAAGTGAGGGGTGTGCAGAATTGTTTGGAGCTGGTGCTACACTTTGCCGCCTTATTTGCGGATCCGCAGCGCGCACATTGCCAGTGTCGGTGGGGAAGATGTCCTGTGCAGTGTCTTGGAATGCCCAGAGCAGCCGGGACGGAAAGGGGAGGTGAGCCATGGAACGCAAGACAGCTGGGCTCTGCCGCTTCGTAGTTCCAGTATGTCATAGTAGTAGACTCGACCGTTTTGTCGCCCTTGTCGGAGGAAGGCGAGCGAGGAGACCCGCGCCCGGCAAACAGCACAGCGGCAGCTCATCCAGGCTATCAAGGCGGCCACAGCGCCTGGGACGATATTCTCAGCTTTCAGCCCAAGCTATCTACACGTCCCCGAGCATGGCTTGTACATGCTCCTGTTGCTGTTTCTGTTGTTGGTGGGGCCGGCTGCAGCGATGGCACGGTGGCCGGTGCTCCAGAACCTTGTCGTCGTCATGGTGGTGCTGGTGGTGACTCTTTTTGTTGTTGCAGATTCCACTATTCCACTGCCTCTTTTGTGGGTGCTGCTGCTGCCGCTGCTGCTCCTGCTGCTGCTCCTGCTGCTGCTGCTGCTACTACTACTACTACTACTACCACCACCATTACCACTACCATCACCACTATCACTACCACCACAACTACCACTACCACTACCACTACCACTACCACTACCACTACCACTACCACTACCACTACCACTACCACTACCACTACCACTACCACTACCACTACCACTACCACAACACAACTACTGCTACTACTACTGCTAGCAGTGCTACTACTACTACTACTACTACTACTACCACTACTACTACTACTGCTACCGCTACTTCTACTACTACTACT